TTTTTTTTAGCTCGGCTGGAGACGCTAAAGGGTTTTTAGCTCGGCTGGAAAAACTTAAAAAACTCCAGCTCGGCTAGTAGACTGGTAATCCCAATCATGCTGTGCAGATGGAATTAAGGGGCAATTGAGAGGGTAATTTTTGGTGAAAATTGGGCCGAGCTATAAGATGAATTTTGTGGCCCAAAGTACAGAGGACTGTGTAAAAGAGGCTGTAATGTTACTTCGGCCCAATAGGGACAAAGTTACTCCGGTCGAAAGAAGAAGAAGTTACTTCGGCTTAGGAGTTGTAAAATACTTCGGTCCGGAAACAGTTTGGAGTTATACCGGTCCAGAATCGTGGGTTCGGTCTGAACGTACTATGGGTTGAACAGGAGAGAACCGAGGTAAGGAAGAGTGAAGGGAGAACCGAACCAATGATAGTCCGGCTTAATCTGTGGCTCGGCATATCCAGGTTTATCTCGGTTGTATGGAAGTTCGGCCATGATGAAAACCATCCCACTTGGTTTAAGCAGTGGGGGGGTGTAAAAGGATAAGCATTATCCTTTAGGAGTATGAATCCTAGGAGGACTCTCCATGGAGAAATAAAAGTCCTACTAGGATTGGGCCACTCGAAACCTATAAAAACTCACAAGCATTACCTTGGAAGGGGGTAACAGCACACAACTTACAATTTTGCTTCTTGAATACATTGAGCTTTATCTATTTGTCAAGTTTTCTGACTTAGGCATCGGAGAGGTTTCCGGCACACACCCGCCAGCTAGCTCACATTTGTATTTTCAGGTGACAATGCGACGTCGTACGGAGGAGCGAGGACATAGTCAACAGGATTATACGAGGAGAATTATTTCTTCCCCGTACATTAATAATTTTATAATAATTGACTTGAAAGCATTCCTATTTAAGAAAATTTTATCTAAGAAGTTAGGAGATGGATTGCCTCCTATTCGGAGCAATGTTTGGGTCTGTGAAAGTCATCATGAATTATGTTTTAATAACTTAAATTGTTTATTTTATTGTTGTACAGGCTTGTCACGCGAGTGACCCAGGTTCGATCCCCGACAACGGCGCCAATTGTACGGGCAAAGAAAAATCATGTACTTATTGATGAAGAAATTTCAACAAAGAAGATGATCAGCACCATCACGCGATCGCCATCTATAAGACAAAACACTCTCAGCTGTAGTGGGGGCCCTCCGACGCCCAATCTGTCCTCCAATATTATCAAAAGACTAATTCATAGAGAGAAATTGTGTACTTCAACTCATGAAGATGCTGCCTATTTATAATATCCAATGACTTACAAGACTTCTACATCAGTAAGATTTCATCTCCTGATGGGTTTTGCATAACATAAAACACTAATGCATTTTTTGATAAGGATTTGACAATTGATATACACGTGATAATCCATAACCATGTTGCGTAACAGTGCCTTGACCCACATAATTCTAGTGATTATTTTTATTTCGATATATTAGGTATATCAGTCATAAATAATAATAAGAAAAGATCGATCCAGAAATCGTAATCTATCCAATATATCTCATTTGTCTTCAGAAAAATGAATGATCTCTTTTTAAAAACACAATTATAGTTTATGTTTTTTGGTGACAAACGCGATGAATTAAATATGTTAAGATTATCTAATCAACTTTTTTTTTTTTTTGTGGATATAATATACACAAATTGTTCAACAAAATGAATGATTGGAGTTATTCAAATAGGGCACATGATAAACCCATTCAGTCAAGATAGACAGGAGCCAATCCACCTGGAAGAAGTTATATATATGTGATATTTCACTTCAAATGAAGGCAAAGCAAAATATAAATAAATAAATAAATACTTTAGATTAAAACTATTATAATGGTTGAAAGAAATGGAAAATTGTGTATCTGTATTATATTAAATCAAATGAATGAATACAATAGGAAAAACCTGTATATATAGGTTGAAAAGAAACCTAGATAATTATAGAAGAAGATAGAGATACAAAGAGATAGAGATACAAGACAGGGATAGAGATACAAATAGATAAGTATAATATAATATACATTAACAACCCCCCTCAAACTCAAGATGGATAAGCATCAACCAACTTGAGTTTGGAAACTAGATTATTGAAACGACTAGGAGAATGAGCCTTGGTGAAGACATCAGCTGTCTGATTGGCAGAGATAACAAAGATAAGACGAACAGTGTCACTAGTAATATGATGTCGTACGAAGTGACAATCAATCTCAATATGCTTTGTGCGATCATGAAAGACATCATTATGGGCAATTTGAATAGCACTCTAATTATCACAATAGAGGTTAATCGCAGTAGAATGAGACATCCTTATCTCAGAAAGAAGCCAACGAAGCCACATAAGCTCTTGAGTAGTGTTAGCAAGAGCACGATACTCAACCTCAGTACTAGAACGAGCAACAAGAGTTTACTTCTTGCTACGCTAGGCAATAAGAGAGTCACCTAATAAAAAGCAAAATCCTGTAGTAGAATGGCAATCAGTAGAATCCCCTGCCTAATCTGCATTAGAAAATGGGTGTAACTGTAGAGATGAGTGTGCTGAGTAGTGAAGACCATGAAACATAGTTCCTTTGAGATAGCGCAAAATGTGAACCAAAGCATCATAGTGCAAAGAGCGAAGAGCAGCCATGAACTGACTGACAATTTGAACAACATAGGTAATGTCTAGACGAGTAACTGTCAATTTGAACAATTTGACAATTTGAACAACATAGGTAATGCCGAGGAAATAACTAAGCAAACCTAAATCTTTCATCTCAAACTAGCGACTGAGGAACTGTTTGAGACTAGGGATACCCATTATGTCATCCCCGGTGATGATCATATCATCAACATAGAGAAAAAGAAGAATAACACCACGCTTTGTCTTGCGTATAAATAGAGCAGAATCATAGGCACTGGAAGAGAATCTAAAGTCACTAATGGTAGAACTGAACTTGGCAAACCAGGCACGAGGAGCTCGTTTCAAACCATACAAAGCATGGCGAAGTTTATAGACCTTGGTGAACGGAATTGAGAAACCAAGAGAAGGCTGCATATAAACGTCCTCAGTGAGATCGCCATTGAGAAAGGCGTTCTTGACATCCATTTGACAAAGACTCCAATGACGAGCAACAGTAACGGCAAGTAGGGTGCGAACTAAAGTAAGACAAGCAACAAAAGCAAGTGTTTCCTCGTAATCAATCCCATATTTTTTAGTAAACCCCCGAGCAACAAGAAGAGCTTCGTAACGCTCAATGGAACCATCAGAGTGGGTTTTGATCTTGTAGATCCATTTGTAACTAATAACACTCTTGCTAGGTGGAAGGTCAACTATATCCCAGGTATGAGTTTTATCTAAAGTCTACAGTTCATCACTCATAACTTACTGCTAAATAGGGTTAGACCAAGCCTCTCGATAGGAAGTAGGTTCATGAGAAGAAAAAGCAGTGGAACCAACAATGAAATCACAAAGAAGTACATAAAATTGTGTTACCCGAGTAGAATGACGAAGAAGTACCTCTAGTGCAGAAAATGATATAGTGGAATCAAGGGATGTATGAGGCTCACTGGGAGAGGGAATGATAACAGGACTAGGAGGTGAAGCAGGAGCAAATATAGAAGTTGGCTCAGGATTAGGGAGTGGAGCAGCAAGACTAGGAGGCGAAGCAGAATCCTCAAGATGGGCCAGAGTCATTATGTCAAAAATAGTGTTTGTATCAAGCTCGTCAAACAAAAGAGAGAGATCTGTAAAGAACGGTGTAGTGAAAGGAATAGACAAATGAAACTTAGATGTAGAGGAGAACATTTTGTGTTCTTAAAATACTACATGACGAGAGACACGAAGATGACGAGAAAAAGGATCCCAACAACACCTTTATGTTCAATCCCATACCCTAAGAAGCAACACAAATGGGCACGAGGTTCTAATTTGGTACGCTCATGTGGTTGAAGAAGAACAAAACAAGTACATCTAAACACACAAAGACCAGTATAGGCAGGAGGTGTGCACTACAAGAATTAACACTTTTGCCGACCAAAAAATTGGTCGCTAAAAGCCCATTTTTGGTCGGCAAAAGTTATCCGCGACCAAGTTTTTTGGTCACTACTTTGGTCGCCAATTGAGGGTTGGCAAAAGTAATTCGCGACCAAAATTTTGGTTGGTCGGGAAAAGTCGGATTTGTCGACTAAATTTTTGGTCGCTAAATATATTATTACCGCGACTAATTCATTTAGTTGCTAAAACACTCTCGTCGCGAAAAGTGATATTTTCCCGACCAAATATCTTAGTCACCAATTGACACATTTCGCGACCAAAAAGTTTGGTCGTCAATTATCACATTCAACGACCAAAAAGTTTGGTCGCCAATTGTGACATTCCACGACCAAAAAATTTTGGCTGCCAATTGTGACATTCCACGACCAAAAATTTTGGTCGCCAATTGTCACATTCCGCGACCAAATTATTTGGTCGCCAATTGTCACATTTCGCGACCAAAAGAAATGTTTGCGTAACTAAAACTTTAGTCGGCAGTAGACCTATTCGCGACCAAACCCTTTGGTTGCCAAAATTAATAATTTTAACGACTAATTATTTAGTCGCCAAATGTGCTTGGTGATACACCGATTACTTTATTTAGTCGGCAAAAGTATAACTTATTGGGGCACGAGTGCCCTTACTAGTTTTGGGGCTTTGATTAGCAAAAGCTATTGGGGATTTGGGACAAAAGTACAACATTTCACACTCTCAGTTGCCACGGAATGCAAAAGATCGGAACATTTCCCCATCAATCATAAACATTACAAGACAACTTTATTTCTTTACAATCATGTCAAGTACAAAGAGAGACAGACACAGAGAAGTCACAGAATCAACTTAACCTTTCCCACCAAAAAAATAGCAAGACTGTCTGCAAGATAGCAAGGTAAAAGCTACTTTACATTCCCAATATATACATTCATGCAACAGTAGCATGAAAGTTACCCTTAGATGGCTTCGCACATTCGCTTGCTTCTTCCATTCCGAACTCTTTTTGCTGCTCTCTGTCCAGTGTTCAAATCTTCAACACTACAATCATATTCTAAACTAGGATCTGTCAATATCTTGCCACAAACATTTTGAGGATTTTCCATTTGGTTATTGCATCCAATTGGTGAACCTCCACAGTTTTCATTCACTCCAACTGACAGAACCTTAGCAGGGGTATGATCTACACTCTTAAAGCTTTCTTCTTTACCTTTCTTCACCACTTTGTTATCTTTAATCACAAAAGTTGTAGTTGGAACATCACAAGAGTTGGCCAATCCCATGGCAATCCTCTTCCTCAGCTACTGTTTGTCCTTGACAGAAGTTTCCCGTCCAAATGTTACTTTAAAGGTTTCATGAAGTTCCCTAACTGATAGGTTGTCCAAGCATATTTCACCCTTTAACTTTGAAAAATCAGGCTTTGAACTAGTACAGATAGCAAAAATTGATGATCCACTTTTGATTGGTCCATCTAAAGGGCTTGAGCATTCTCCACCACTTCCAAGATGATCAATATGACTCTCATTTGAATTTGTTTCCAACGAAGGAATAGTTTCCTACAAGGGCGTTGAAATTTGACGCTTTTTGTCAAGTGAAGTCAATATACCGTGCTTATTAGATATAGGATATGTGTGCTCATGAAAGTGGAAGACGGATCAAATATTAGTTGCACGAAACTATATTTATTCAAATATACTCCAACAAAAATTAAGTATAAATATACAAAAATGCTAGAGATCAAATTTTGAACTACACACTAAATTACCAACTATTCTTTTGTTTCTTTGAGATCTGTATGTTTGAAAGTTCTATCACAGTTGGGCTGAGTTTATTCCTCTACGGGAGTAGGTTTCTCTTTTACTTAGCACCGTTAAATTGAGTTTCTGAGTAAGAAACGTCACCCTAGGAGTTTCCTGCTACTTAATCAAATCATCCTCAAGCCAAGCAAACAACCTCAGATTGTTTAACCCTTTCCAAAATATTCTTTATATACAATACAAAAGAATAAAGGCCAAAGGGATCAGAGATATACTAGTACCCTGATATCATCACAAATGTGTTAACATGCAAGAAAAAAAATAACCCAGGAAATACCAGCAATATCAGTAATAATAGAAAAAGTATTACTAAATTAACAAAGAAAAATAAAAGAAAAGAAAAGAAAACTTTATTTAAAAGAAAAAGAAACCTAGCAACCAAGAGACTAGGATTCCTAAATTAGGCACGACAGCAAAGAATTAATATGTTAAAATTCAAATTTTATCAATCTAATAAACTCGTGGAAGAAAAAGCAAAATGGCAGTACCTGCTATAGGAAAGAAAGACCAAAAACCACCTCATGTTCATCATCTAATTTCCCCATACCAACTCTTGTGTCAAGCTGAGCATTTGACCTTTCTGCATTTACTTCAGGGTTCTCAGATTGACCTGGAAAACATTTGTCAGTCAACTAAATTACCAACAGAGAGAACCAAAGAGAAAGAAGCCCAAATACATCAATACACATGTAGATACACAAACAGATCTAGTGAGCAAGTGTTGCGAGTATTGAGATCAAAGCAGGGCATTCCACCTCCAAAGAGTCACAAAAATAAATGATTTCTTTTTCTTCTTTTTTGGATCAGCAAAAGAATCTTCATTGATTATAACAACTGATGAAGATTGTAACAACTCAAAAGAATCTTTATCAAGGCATCACAGCTCGATATAGCAATCCCGACTAGGTTGGCACCACCATACGAGCCCAATCATTTGCTAGCACACGGCCAAGGTTGGAGAGTCACCAACCAAACAGCACAACCAAAACCAGAAAAATCTACAAACAACAACTACCAACAAACAAAAGGAGAGCATAAGTACACTCAACACAACCAGTAAACAAAGCACCAGCAGCTCTCAGACCCTTTCAACACACCAGCAACCAGCCTGCACTTTCAGCAAAGCCAGACTTACCTCAAACAGTGTCCGACCTGCTTAAGATTAGACACACACCAAATTATGCAATATAACAATCAATTTTCATCACATAACATGTCAGAGAAATCTAATCTTACTAGGTGAATGAAGAGAAATGAATGTTTTTAATCTAATCTTTCTTTTCAAAAAATATAAAAAATCCTGTTTCGATCTATAAGACCTATTGTATTATAGAGAGATGATATGTATGGGACATGAGGACAGTTGAGATAAAGGACCTTCTAATAACAGTCTAGTATAATTCTTTATGAAGCTCATTTTCGTAGTTTCACAATTATACTATCTAACCAAATGACCGTATATACATTAATTGGAAAGAATCATATAATTTCAGCTAATGAGTTGAAGAAGTAAAAAACCGTTTGAAATAAGATAAGTAAAAATCACCACTTTTACATCGAGGCAAGGATCATTGACCATATCCTTTAATTGAGAAGTTATGCAGGCATTCTGTAATTTTACAACCCGACTGTGTGCACCGGGACTACTTGGAAAGGTGAGATTTACGACAGTCCAGACACAAGCTGTGTGTAACCTGCTGTCATTACTCTGCAAAAGCTTGATCATAATTGATTGGATGTTGTCACCTATTTGTGGGAAAAGTTGGTCCATGACTGCTTCTTTGTGGAATTCATTCCCAGATGCCACATTATTGAGCACGTACATACCCTATATCAGAAAGGTTTCAAGATCTATCAAAAGCGAAACAATCGCATAATCCCTATTCCAGGCATGTTGTAGATCTGTCATATAATGGCAAACAGGACGATTTCTCCAATTTCTGCTGACTACCATTTCCGGATGAGTTGGAAATTTGAACCAGTTTCATGCAAAATGAAACTCATCAATTGAAATCATAAATCAGAATAAACATTTAAAGAGTTCTTCGCTTTAAATTAGTGCAACTTTGCAGCTACCTTCTGATCTACTCTAATACAAGTTCACTATTCAAGAAAGGTGCATTTAATTCTTATTAAAAGTCTATGTTGCAGACGTTATAGATGCATATAAATGTCAACCAAAATTAAGTACAACACAAACACCATTATTATTGGCTGAGAAAATTGAACGAAGCAACTATAAATGGAAAAAGAGAAGTAAACCTTTTCTATGCTGCAGGCATTATAGATGCATATAAATGACAACCAAAATTAAGTACAACACCATCACCATTATTATTGGTTGAGAAATTGAATGAATCAACTGTAAATGGAAAAAGAGAAGTAAACCTTTAGTTCACTGAGTGTGATTGCAGCAGTAAAACGCACAGAAATCGGGAAAAAGACTGATGCATCTACTGGAGGGACAACAAACTCCATAGATCCACTGCCAAGTGTTCCAAAATGAAGTTAGAAACCAAACAAGCACAACAAATTGTAAAATGCACAATAAATTTTAGTTTTTAAATAAAAGAAACATCATCATATGCTGACCTGTGGTTTTAGTTATCAATGAGAAGTATGGTCCACTGTAAAATGGAGTTTCTGGAATCATACCAGTGAGAAAACATACAGGTATTGTAAACCCAACTCCATTGAACAAGAGAAGTGGAACAAAACCCATTTATTGGTGAGCAAATCATTAAACTGTGTACCTTCTAAAAAGTCTGTTGAAAGCGAAATCAAAAAAGGGAGTAATCAAAGCAGCTATATGAGGTTTTTGCAGTAATTATTGTGGGAATATCAAGCTATAATTTTAAGAAGTTACATAACAAGATCTTGATAAGCTGGTATAGATGAAAGGTCATATTAAAACCATTTTGAAGTGGTATAGATGAAACATCAAAAATGTATAATACATTTTTCAAATTTTGCGGGAAAAAGAAAAACAGCAAGTGGTCCCAAAATATTTTTCACATTTTGCCTTCTCTCATACTGCTAAACAGAGACAAATGATGTGAAAAGCATATCAATGCAAAACAATCATGACTTCCAAATAAATAAATAAAAATAGTCTTTCCTACAAAATGCAACTATATTTTGGAGGATATAGCTTTTACCATGCCGTTCTAATCGACCCAACATCCATTTCTCCTAAAATTGATCTCAACTATAACTCACAATCCAAGACTCCATCAAATAATTGCTCAGCTCTCAAACAATAATGACCTAAAACTGTATGAGCATAAGATTTAATAACAATATAAATTAAGAATTCACCTCCATTCACCATCATTCTGCTTTACATTTGGTGCCTCTCTAAGAGCTGGAAGAGGTACTGAAATCACAACATTCTGCGAGTCAAATGTTGATGAAGCTTCATACTCGATGCTGACGTAAGTTTCAGTTCCAGAAACCGAGGGCCAGCAGTTGGCTGAGATTATATAGGTGAAATTAGATGGCGAATCAATAAATCCACATTACATCCATCACAACACAGGTTTGCTTTATGACCTCAATCCTCTCCTTCCATAGCCCCCAAATTATATATATATATATAGAGAGAGAGAGAGAGAGACCGAGAGCAAAGGCTAGAGAGGGAGAGAGCGAGAAACAGAGAGAGACAGACAGACAGATCGAGAGTGAGAGAGAACTTGTGAGGATGCGGCGGCGGCGGTGGCAGTGGCGCTAGCAGTGGCGTACGACGTTGGTCAGCGATGAGGTGAGGTTGGGTGAGGATCCCACAGAAATGAGGAGTCCATTAGACAGAGGGCGATGGCGATGGCGATGCGCGACGGACGCGAGCAATGGTAGTGAGGGACTTCGGTGAGCTAGAGAGAGTGGGCACCGATTGAGAGAGAGAATATAGAGAGAGGGAGAGGGCGGATCAACATATAGAGAGACACAGAGAGTGAGCTGGAGACAGAGAGGAGAGACGGGATTAGAAATGGCGACCAAATTTTTAGAGAGAGTGGGTGCAAAACAACGTCGTTTTATAAATGGCGACCAAATTTTTTTTTGTCGCAAAAAAATTCCATTTCCTCCCTCCATGTTTCAAATTTCCCTCCCAAACTTTTCACGACCAAATGACCAGATTAGTCTCAGAAAAGGTACTTTCGCCGACAAACTTTTTTAGTTGCCAAATCTCAATCAATGGCCACTAAAATATTAGTTGCTAAAAGTACTAATTTGGCGACTAATTTTTTTTGGTCACCAAAATGTAACCTTCTGCGACCAAATTTGTAGTTGGTCATAAAAAACATACCAATTTCTGCGACTAACTCATTTTTGGTCGCCAAAATGTGACCTTCTGCGACCAACTCATTTTGGTCGCCAAAAATAATGATCATTCGCGACGAATTAATATTTTGGTCGGCAAATGTCATTTTTTTGTGACAAAATTTTTTTTTGGTCGGCAAAAGTGGTCGGCAAATGTGTAAATTCTTGTAGTGGTGCCATACGGACGCTCATATAGGGTTTGATTGTTGATAGTAGGAAAAGGAACACGGTTGATAGTGTAGACTGTTGTAAGAGCAACTTCTTCCCAAAAACGTTCAGGACAAGAATAAGAGATTAAAAGAGCACAAACAGTGTCTAGGATATAGTGATATTTGCGCTCAGCACGACCGTTTTGTTGGGAGGTACCAGGACAAGAATAATGAGAAAGCGTACCATTTTGACAAATGAATTTCAAAAAATGAGTTTCTTTGCATTCCTGAGCATTATTAGCACGAAAAATTTTGATGGTGGCGGAAAACTGAGTTTTGACCATGTGAAAAAAATCATAGTGTATTTGGTGTAACTCAGAGCGAGATTTCATAAGAAATAACCAGGTAAAACGAGTGAAATTATTGACAGATATAACACAAAGTATTTAGATTCCCCCATAATGGTATTAGGAGAAGGCCCCCAAACATCAAAGTGTATAATCAAAAGGTGCATGAGACATAGAAGTACTAGTAGTAAATGACAAGGTAGGCTATTTTACAAGTTGACAAGATAGACAGTCTACTTTATCATTTGGAACATCACCTAACTAACCACTTGAAACTAGAGAGCGTAAACGACCAAAAGACATATGACCTAACCAAGAATGCCATAAAGCAAGAGGGGAACTAATAATAACAGAAGCAGCAGTCTCAACATTGGAAGGACTGGATGAGGGAATGCAAAGGTGGATGAGCTCGTATAGACGTCCATGTCTATAACCTATCCCAAGGGTTTGTCCCATCTTCAGATCCTGCACAACATAACCAATTGGAGAAAATAGAACATTGGGCTAGATCACAGAGTTGACCAATAGAGATAAGATTAAGAGTAAGATTAGAGATCAAATAAGTGTGAGGGGGTGAGACATTAGAGGTAAAAATATGACCCACATGACTAGCATGCATTTGAGAACCATCAGCAGTATGAATGTTAGGTAAATTAGAAGGACATGTAGTGGAAGAAAACAATGTAGGATCAGAGGTCATATGGTTGCAACAAGCCAAATCAAAATACCATGAAGAGGTACCTGGGGTGACTGAGATAGCATTAGAAGGTGTATCAAAAGTGGAAAGAACCTTTTACATAATAGCTTCAATATAATGAACAGTGTGAGTGGAAGCGGAGTCAGGTGCAATAGCAGTAGAGGCAAATTGAATCGAAGAATCATGTCAACTAGCAGAGGATCTAGAAGAGCCATCGTAGAGAGGAGAACTATCTGAATGATCAATGAAGTAATCAAAGTATGAGTCACAAAGAGGGCCCAGTAGTGTCAGAGTAGAACTGGGTGAAACAGAGTGTCCCAGTGAATCTGGAACGTTGAAAATAGCTAGAAAGCGGCTGAGTTGGCCTAAAAATAGCCAAAAAATGGACCTGTGGATAACAAATAGGCCAAAGATGACGTCAGCAACAAGTGGACGACGTCAAAGTGCGCAGCACACGTTAATAGAAGAGGCGCGCGGCGTGCGGTAGTGACAGAGGTGTGCACGGCGCACAATAGCAAAAACGGTGCACGCGGGTGCACAGTAGTAGGACCACGCAGGTGCACGATAGCAGAAGTGGCGCATGCGGTAGCAGGAAGGACGTGTGCTGGCACGTAGGAGAATGGCGATGGAAGGCTGGACGCCCCGTCTACAAAAGTGGCGCGTGAGAGCGCGTACGGAGATGTGTAGTGATGGGCCTGCTGGCGTTGAAACTAGGGAACAATTCCGAGCACGGTGGTAAAAAAATTATAAAATTTTGGTCAAAAAATGATGATGAGGCAGTGACGAAACAATGTTATGGAACAAAGAATGGTGTATTGATGAAAAAAAAGAGAGATGCTATAATGCCACTGTGTACGAGCAATAAGTAGGAGAAAAAAGGAGCTAGGATTCAAGACCTATGCTCCGATACCATGTTAGAATGGTTGAAAGAAAAGAAAAATTATGTATCTATATTATATTGAATTGAATGAATGAATACAATAGGAGAAGCCTATATATATATAAGCTAAAAAGAAACCTAGATAAGTATAGAAGAAGATAGAGATACAAGACAGGGATAGAGATACAAATAGATAAGTATAATATAATATATATTAACAAAAACAAACAAACAAACAAACCAAAAGAAGAAAAGAAATGAAAAGCTACAAATTTTAACTTTGCGACCAGAAAAGTCTCAAACGATGGAACAAATTAATTGCGATGTGTACATATTTCAGATTAGTCTCTCTCACCATGGAAATTAATTTTGTTTACCTACTTAAAATTTATGACTTTTTAAAAAAAAAAAAATTAAGTGTCTAGATGAATTTATGCTTTACTTGATTAATTTTGGGACGGTAAATTGACGATCAGACAAATTTTTAGTACCTCTTGAATGACTTCAATTCAAGAATTTTTTGACACAAAACATAAACTATGTACAAAATTAATTAGATCAAGATTAATCAATTTTTGACATGAATTCAATTATAGCATGATATAAGTAACATGAAATGTTTTAAGTTAGTGTTCAACATGCATAACAAAAAGTTGATACAAATTAACTTGTTTAATTAAAGGATGAAAGGTTAATTATATTTTTGGTCACCGAAATATTAGTCTCATGTCAATTTGGTCCTCAATATTTTGGTAAATCATCAGCCATTCTAAAAGAATGAACATAGAATTGACGTAAGGGGCATTTTGGTAACTTCTAGTTAGTGGATATTTTGGTAATTTCAACATCAACCCCTTCTATATATATTGAAACAATTCTTGCATCGTTCTTCATATCATGAAACACAAAACTACCCAAAACTAGATACAAAAATAGGCTTATCCATGGCATTGATCATGATCTTCCCATTCCTTCTAGCATTTGCCACCGCCCAGCAATGCGGTAGACAAGCTGGTGGCCGGACATGCCCTAACAACCTTTGTTGTAGCCAGTACGGTTATTGTGGGACAACCGATGACTATTGTTCACCTTCGAAAATTTTCCAGTGTAATTGCCATTCTGGTGGAGGGGGAGGAGGAGGCGGCGGCAATGCTAGCAGTGAAAGCAAGCAGATTGTTATGGCTACTATCCTAAGCAGAATGGATGAAACTTGAATGTAGTAAGCGCTTACTGCTCGACTTGGGATGCTAATAAGCCCCTAGCATGGCAGAGCAAGTGTGGATGGACTGTCTTTTGTGGACCAGTTGGGGATCATGGCCAGGCATCTTATGGCAAGTGCCTTAGGGTAAGTATACTAACTTTCAATATCTATATCAAATTTTAAGCTTTTTTTTTTTTTTTTTGAGAATATAAATAATAAACTCACATATTTTTTTTTATAACAATTTAAACTTTTAGATGAGATAGTGGTTAACAATTTAATATGATATAAAAATACATGCCATATGTGAGGAGACGAGTTGGAAATTTAAATAATGAAGGAAATTCTCTAGGGCACACTCCAAAATAAAGTATACCATAGGCTCTAAGATATTTTTTGAATTATGATTATGACCAAAGAGATTTTTGATTATATATATCCTAAGTGGTGTGTTTAATTATGAGCCATTATCGTCTCTTTAGTTATTGTGGGGGCATATTTTTGTGAATAACAACACGTGGCTAAGGTGACATCGAAGTGTCAGCCAAGGTGCCACGTGTCTTGGCCATGGCGTCAAGGTGATCTCGGCTAGGCCGAGACTATCTGCAGAGATACCAAAATTCGAGATGAGCGGATAAGGGACAAGAGTCCTAGAATGGGGAAGGACCTCAGTCTGGATAAAGATAAAGCTCTGAGGGAGTTTATCTCTATCTGGCTGAGAGTCCAAGATGAGCAGTAAGCCGGAGTCCATTGAAGCTAGGCTTCTACAGGGATCAGGTTAGTGTTGGCTATAAAAGTAAAGCACCCTCGTGGGTCTAAGGTACGCTTTTTGTATTCTGTCTTGTGAGTTAAGCACTATTTGCAATCTTTGAGAGATAACTGAGTACTAACTTCATCGTCGGAGTGCCCCTAGGTGGATGAACCACTGCCGGTGTCTTATCTTTCTGTGACAGGTTGTTCAGGCATAATCTATTCTGCCTATGCTTTTCTACTGAGTTCCTGTTTGGCAGTGTGGTTGAAAATCAGCACCCACAGTTTGGCGCCGTCTGTGGGAAGCGTAAGAAGAATAAATGGTCAACGACAGGCAGAAAGAAAGAGTTGGGGCCGACATCCCTAGTGAGAGTAGTAAAAACGCCAAACCTAACGTAGATGAGGACAACTATGACGAAAAACCTCGGGATAAGAATCCCGGAGAAAAAAACGTCAGCCAAGAGGGAGATGTACCGAAGAAAGCATGTCATGGAAAGTATTACAACGAAAGCGACCTCCAGGTATGGAAAGATAGATGCTTGAAGAGGGACGACGAGATGAAGGAGATAGTAAACAAATTGGCAGACCTGGAATCAGTTGTCAATTTCATGATACAGAACAACGTCATGCAGCCA